TATATCACACTCTGGGGTTGAGGTGACTAAAAGAACTGTGTTGTGACCTAAATAACATGCTGTTGCTATCTGCAGAAAGTATTAAAGCATGAAATTTAATGTACGAAAGCATCCTGTATCATAACTACATGTGTGCCGTTTGTAACAAACCAAACCGTGTGAAAATCATTGGAAAATTCAGTGAGTTATTCTATTTTACTTGTGCGTACAGCTCCTTCCTCAATAGAAGTGAATGCACTGTGGAGGCGAAGCGAGACCCATCCAAGATGGCGGCCGGCTAGGACGTCAGCTCCAATAGGAAGCGGCAGTCAATGCGGCGTCTATGTATATATGTCTATGGTAGGGACGCCGTTGGCCGTTAGCGGTGTCTAATAACTCCGGTCACGGTACGTGAAAACAATATTTTTTCCAGCGAATGTCTTAGTTACAACATGATTGAGCTAAATGGAGTAGTTACATGTCATATCCGACAACGGGAGGCTTTTAACAGATGACGTCCTGATGTTAGCTTTGCTGCTGCTGTTAGCTGTCCCTGTCAGCTGATGCTTTCTAGACATCGTGATTTCCCAAACTGAATAAATACCACACATAGCAACACAAAACTGCTTTGCTAGCTCAATCATGTTGTAATTAAGATATCCGCTGGAATTTTTTTTTTTCACCGACCGTTTATTGAGTTATTACAGACACCGCTAGCAGCTAACGGTTAGCCTAGCTAAACTACAATAACCATGTTGTTATTTACAAAACGTCACATCCCGCCTTGAGTATATCCAATCAGCACCAAGTAATCCCCAAGCCCCAGCCAGAGCCGTTCTGAGGTGCTGAGTACCTACTCCGAGGCAGGGACTTGTTTAGCCCCTGTAAAAGTTCTGGAACTTTGTCCTTCGGGGGTGGTTCCTGCGGTGGAGACGGGCCTCTTGTTTGGAACTGAGCTCGCAGGATACCGCAGTTGGTTTCAGGTAAGCTAACTGGAATAAATTGGCAGAAAATAGCTATGTTGTTTATTCTGTGACCGTTAAAAGAGGTTCCTGGTAAGTGGCGAGGCACGACTGGGTGTATATAGCTTAGCACAGGTCCCCACCAGCTAACGTTATCTTTCCTTAACTGTTAGCTAGTTTAGCGGTTTAGCTCATGTTAGCTAACATGCTATAACTGTGGTGTTTTCATTTTATTTTCCCTAGTTGACGTTATCTGTTCATCTGGTTAGTGAGAACTCGTTTTGTGTTAAAGTGGAAGTGCCCGGAGCTGCCACCCGTGGTCCCGCGGCCCCCCGGCCTGACCTCCGGGACACTGGACGGATGCCTAAGTGTGGGTGACAGGAGCGGAAAGGACCGCGGAGGTAAGGCGGGACGGGCCGACACTGTGTATCCCAGAACGGGTGCTCAATTGTGGGTGACATGCGCAGAGAGGAGCGCGGAGGTCAAATAGTGAAGTTTAAGGATGCCTATCAGTCGAGGTCTCCTCCTCTGCAAATCAAACTGACCCGGTGGCTACAGGTAATGCGCAGTTTTTAAACCACTGTTTTTTCCGAGATGAAGGACTGATTGTTGAGCTGCTGTTAACAGTTAACGGAGTTAACGCCGGATCCCGTTATTTAACAGTTTCCACGCTAAATGAAGCAGAGTGACGGACCCAAAGCCTTCAATCTGGCTAAAAGACAGCTGAAATGCTTAAAAAAAAATAAAATAAAAAATACAGTGGTGAAGATTTGTTTCTTGAAGTTATGTGCTCATCATCTTTTCTGTCTCTTGCAGGCTGCCAGGAGAAGCGGACTGGCCATCAGATATTGTTTGTGAAATTTGAAAATAAAGTTTCTCAAATTGACCTTTGTCTCTTCATTGTGCACACTTTCACACGAAATATGGTAATAGTCAGCTATTTTTGAATGTTAGCATTAATTTCTCACATTGAATGGTGAAATATTTGTAGTTTGAAAGGTCCGACCTAAATGAATAAAGGTCGTAGTTAACGAAGCATATGAATATTAATGAAGGAGCGCCCACTGAGCGCAGCGTCTTGTATTGATCGTTTGAACGTGGCGTGGTGGTCATTTTCGATTAAAGGCCGACGTCTTGGCAATGAGCAAACGCTCTCCCTGCTACGTCTTACCGATCCAAACTTGATACATCGGGCTGACATCGGCCAGATGTATGTGTGCTATCTGGGTAGCTAGCTAGCTAGTAACGTTAGCTACAAGTAGAATTGCATGGATGGGCAGAAGCATAATGTTACGTTAACGTTAATGCTGGTTCATGGCCGGGAAAAAAACGAACCATACTTTAATTTGGTCCGGACCTAGACGTAAACGGTAGTAACCGGACCGAAAAAACTGTTTAATAATTAAAATAGCGAAACGTAGCCGTGCAATAACGTTAGCTAATAACGGTCATTGAAATTGGCCCTGACTAAAAGCAAAGCTGGAGATATTCTCAGACGACAATCATGAACACAGTAAAAGTTCACAGGAAAAGTAGACGTTAAAAAGATTTGTATTGTTAACATGAAATAAAAGGTAATGTGCTAAATATAGCTACTTACCGAGCAATCCAACCTCTCTGTGTCTGCGACTCCAACGGTCCGACCAACTGCAGGCAGCTAAAAATAAACTATAACGGCTACGTAAATTCAAATTTGGCGGGTAGCAACCGTTACTGCTGTGCTAATACTGCACGCACATAGGCACGCACGCGCACGCACACACACATGCATTGCAAATGTATTGGGCGTCCACATGTGTTAAGGTTTGATTACAGAGGCTGTTTTATACGACAGAGTATTAGGGCCACATTGAAGAAAAAAAAAATCGGAGATTTCGAGAATAAAGTCGAAATATGAGATTAAAGTCGTAATATTTCGAGAATAAAGTCATAATATTACGAGAATAAAGTCTAGTTTTTAAGGAGAATGTGCCTGCCGCGGCTGGATCTGTGAGCGTTTGGTGGATGAAGAGTGTTAAGAGTGGGTCAGCTCGATCTTAAGACTCCTCCTTAGTGAAAGATCTTCTTAAGCTAAGAGCGATCTGGGAAACGCGGCCATTATCATGTCAACATACAGGGAAAATGTGTCCAGAGTTTATGACATTTACCAGGAGAGCTAGAGCCATTTGACTAAAGTTGACGTTATTACTGCTGTAGCATGATGTTATTAGGTCAAATACTACATTTCTAACAGTGTCTGAGCTGATTTATGACACAGCATGCTTGTAGGCTGCTGTAACGTTAGGTTTACAGAGGAAATAACGGGATGTGATCCCATTGTGGACAAAATTAGTGGAAACCCATCTATTATGCTGGAAATATGATTCCAGTGTTTTATCTTAAAACAAACAAACAAACAAACAAACAAACAATTGTCTGACTTGTAATTCGTGTTGTAAAGCCAAAGACATTTTCCACACTGTAAACAAATCAAATTTCTTTCAAACTGTAACTTCCTTTATTTATTTATCTATTTCTGACCAATTAATGAACTCACTACAATCACTATCAAGGTCTGGTTATAAAATGGCCTCTATAGCAAGCAGATAATTTGAAATAGTGCTGCAAGGTCAGAGTAAAGTACCATACAATCATTTATGTTAGATTTTGTGCACAGGTGAAGAATTTCAAGCCAGGGTGTGAAAGCAGGCTTAATGTCTGAGGAGCTAGACATTGAAAGTGTTTTTTTCCCTCTGTAAATAATTTCTCCTTAAAGAATTTCTAAAAGTATTTTATTTATTTAACAGGGACAGTGCACAGCTACTTAGCTGCACCAGGGTTGGCTATAAGCTAATTTTCATCTGTAGTCCCTGGGCAGGAAACAGAGAGAATACTTTCTCTGCTAAAAGACACTATTATATAAATAATAGTGTTATGAATAATAATAATTATAATGATAAATAAAAACTTGACCACATTTTGGAAATATAGGCTTTATTTAACTAATAAAACATAAAAAAATCTGTTAACATAAATTAATCTATCTGCTTACTCATCCAGGTAATGACTTGTAAGTTCACTTCATCCAACACAGAGTCCTCCGCCCTTCCCTTCACCGTTAGTCCATGGCTGCCTCCTTCTAGGCAGAAAACCTCAACTTGAGCTTTCATTTCTTTTACCGTTCCTTCAAAAAGGTCCTGAGCAAAGACAGAAAGCAGAAAGTAAAATCAGAAAATAAACCCATGCACTGCACCCAGTGCACATGCACATATGTCAATATATTATGAAAATGTTATAACTGTATGCACGAAATGGCAGTCAGGGCAGCATAAAGAGCCCAAACATCCTCACCCTGTCACACATGTTGTCCTCAGTGCCTGACACAAACAGCACAGGCATGTGTTCAGGTAGCCCCCTGAGATCTTCACTCCTTTGCAGATGGGCGTGTGTCTGACCCGGAGGGTGCAGTGGGAAAGACAGGCAGATGACACCCTGCACTGCATCCTCTGATTCATCACTTAGCTGCCTGGCTAAGGCCACAGCAGCACGACATCCCATTGACCTGCCTGTGGACGTGTCACAGAGATTTTGATACAAGATGTCGGGCTCAGTGAGTGCTGCAGTTGTTGTGTTGGCTTTTTTGATAATGTACAATATTGACTGTTGTTGCATTGTTCCTTCAACTTCCCGAAACTAAGAAATGTGATAACACACTTATTTATCTATTTCATGTGATACACAATGAGCCGTCTATTGCTGCTTACCTCCAACAAATATGTGCTTTATGGTAAACTTCTCTAGAGACTTCAAGTAGTCCTAGGTGAAAAACACAAGTGTGTGCAGCATTTTACTGACTGTGAATCTGTTACAGCAGCACAAAGATACTCATGTAAGAATAAAATAGTGACAGCTATTTCTTGAATGAATGAAAATACTTACCCACACAGCACGGTAAGCTTTCACTCTATAACCCAAGTTTAAACCTTTGCATGTGAAACGGAGACAAAGGAAGCCACATGAAGCTAAGGCATTTGCCAGAGAAACCAGATGTCTGAAGTTCATGTCTCCACCAGCCCCATGAGTGAGAATGACGGCCTTGTGAACATCTGTTACTGAAGCAGGAAAAGACAAGGCAGCCTCTAGATACTTAGTCCCAAATGGCACCTTCACTGTGTCCTGTAAGTCAGTGAGCAGTCAGTGAGCAATCTTTCAAGTTTAACCATTCTCATCATGCAGGGTTTAAACAGTGGGGGAAATAAGTAGGGCTGCTGTCAAACTGCGCCTTCTCAGGGCAACGAAAAAGTTAATCTTGGGTGCGTCGGTATTATGGACAACCAATACAGGACAGCAGAGGAGATACTCGCACACCAGTACAACTGGTCTGGACAGCCACAGAAAAGGTTCACAGGCTGAGATCAAATCAAAAAATAAAAGTCAATTTATTGAGAACATCTCTGCACAAAAAGAAGGGTGCTCAAAGTGCTTAAAAAATAATAAAAAGTGATTAAAAACAGCAGCAACATTTCAGTCCTTGATGTTCATCAGTGCCTCACAGAGCAGATACAGACACAGACAGATAACAAATCACACCTGGTAATACTTGGTGGGGAAGCCTTTGTTTACAATGCCAGCTTCAAGACACTTCATGTAGGAACAATATAAAGTCCCACGGTTGGGATTTCTGCCCATTCTTCCACACAGACAGTCTTTAAATCTTGAAGACTGTGGTGGGCTGCTGGACAATCTTAATCTTTAGCTGACTGGGATATTCAAACACCTTTTTTTATTACTTTGGAACCAACAGACAGTCTCCTTTGCAGTATGTTTTGCATTGCTGTCCTGATAGATGGTTCTTCCTCATCCTCATCATCCTGGTGGATGGCAGCATATTCTTCTCAAGATTTCCGGTTTCATGGCTCCATCATCTTTCCTTTGATAATTTAGATTCTGCTGGTGTGAAAAGAAAAGACACAGCCCAAGACCATGTTGCTTCTACCTCTGAACTTTACTGTATAGTATTTGTAAGGTCATACAAAGAGCCATTTCTCCTCCAAACATGGCTTGTTGTAGTGCTGCCAAAAAGCTTGTCTGAAGTTTGCTACCTGACATTTGGAGAAGCCTGTAGATAACTGGGACAATGTAGTGTGGTCAGACGAGACAAAGAACAAGTCTGTGAGGAAGAATGGACTATAATCCCATCTGAACACTCAGAGACATTAGTTTATTCATACAGGAAGCTGGTATTGCAAAGGCTTCCCCACCACTTATGAAATGTATTTCAGTTCGCGTTTATATCAATGTCTGGTCTACATTTTATTTGGATAGCTGCATTGGCAACATGTTAAATGAAAAGTATTCAACACGTCAATATTATTTATTTCCCTCACTGTACATCTGTGGAAAGTGATTAAAAAGTGAGTGTTGTCATGGTGACTGTCAGGACTGAAACAGTTCACCATAGCCCTTTTGCTAAATCGTATAAGTTACAGCTCATTATCGGTATGAGCCACGTTTTCAAGCTCTGCCGTTAAAAAACATAGTTCGCTTATTGTTAATAACGCTACGCCGTAGTCCAACGAAATTCATTGTGGTAAGAGGCAAAGTACAGCAACTACAACGTAGCTACAAGTTTAGCTTATTCCACGAAGCTAGCTGTGTGTTTTACTGCCCTATTTGTTAACCGTTAAATATTTACCTCGACAAACTTGTCCATTGCACAGATGCTCTATAGATAAAGTTGCTGTAACGTTAAGCAACAGCAGCAACACCGTCCATTCATTGCAAGATTTTTCCTCTGTGAAATCCCTGGGGTTGAACCTGACTACAAGTGACTGACACCTACTGTCCAGGAGGGGTCATTACAGCTATACTACTGACTTCAGTGCAATGACTCGTCAGCAACGTCAACCATGGCTTGACTGGACACAGATGATTTTCTTTTCGTTTTTAGCCACAGCAAATCAACCTTGGATCTGACAGAGTTCATTCATCTTGCTTAGGGACACTTAAGCACATTTGATGACAATGCAGCTTGAACATACAGAGTCAGAGATCTACTGCTTGAATGAACACCATCGACCAAAACATTAAAACCACTGACAGATGAAGTGAATACCACTGATCATCTTGTTACAATAGTGTTCTGCTGGGACACCTCGGGTCTTGGCATTCATGTGGATGCCACCTGAGATGCTCCAACCATGCCGAACACTGTTGCAGTGTTTGGATGGCACTGCCAAATGACAATGCACCCTGCAACACTGCAAAAACTGCTCAGGAATAGCTCAAAGAGCATGACTAAGAACTCAAGGGGTTGACCTGGCTGCCAGATTCACCAGATCCCAACCTGACTGAGCATCTGAGGGACATGGCTGGTATCCCACCTGACAACCTACAGGACTCAAAAGGAGCGGCCGCCATCGCCCTGGTGCCAGACACCACTGGACACCCCCCAGAGGTCCTGCGTCCATGCCTGGACAGGTCAGAGCCAAGTCCAATTCGAGGAGGCCTCACCACAGATTGATGGTACCTCTGGGGTACTGGCATGTTCTATGACTGCTTGATCTGATTGGGATCTGGGAAATTTTGAGGCCAGGTCGACCTCTTGAACTCTTTGTCACGTTCCTCCAGCCACTCCTGAACAGTTTCTGTAATTTGACATGGTGCATTGCTCTGCTGGGGGCTCCCTGCCATTAGGGAGTGCTATTGCCATGAGGTGGTATACCTGGTCTATAGGTCACCCACCTATGGTTTTAATGTTTTGGTTTGGTGGATTGGTGTATGTGTGATTTCACAGGATGAAAAATACACATCTAATCCAACTGTTTCACCACTTTAAACATGCAAATTTCGATTTCGCATATGTGTATACATGCTTTTGCAGTGGATTTGTGTTTATGTGTGAGTGTATAATACAACAGTGCAAAAAAGAAAAAACACTTTCAGCGTACAAAAAGAAAAATATTTATTTTAAAAACGAGATGTGATAGTCATATCACAGTCATACAATCATTTCACAATCTGAATATTATTTGGCAGTATATCAGCAATGAAGGATTGTGCTGTAACTGGATGACAGGTCAATCAGAGTTCATCCTTTGCCTGAAAAATAAACAGAAAGATTAATGTTGGGATCAGAGGGAATGGTGTCACAAGGATATGTGCCAGCTTTCAGAACAAGTTAGTAGCTGGATTCGTTTTAGCACATGGGAAGAAACGTGTGCCATCAGAAACTGAAAAAATACAGTTAGTAAAATCCAATAAAAAGGCAGCATACTTTGTACAGCAGTTTGGTCTCAACTTTTACTCATTCAAACTTAAATAGTTACACAGGTGTTTTCACTTATGAAATGATTATTCCTCTGCTGATGTATGCAAACTACCCCTGGTTACTCCCTTCTCGTGTTGCTGCACCTGTTGGGTCCAGAATATTTAAAATGTTATCATTCAGTACATGAGTTTGGTGACTTCACAAAATTCCCAGCATAGCTCCACCTGCCTTTAATCTGTCCTGGGGTCTAATCATCCAGAGTACTTGAAAACACCTGTGTGGATGTGCAGAGCTTTTAGTAATATCATATTTTAAATTCAACTTGAATTTATTTAGCAGGGTGCAGTGGTACCTTCGATCCACCAGAGGGAGCCACACTCCAAATGTGTGCAGTGTGTCATGAGGCCGAGCGGTACCAAAGTTTTAACAATAATACCAGTGTTTTTTTCCCCCAATTATTGCTATTATCAATGAAAAACTTCAACCCACTAATGCATTTGCCAAGGTTAGAAGCTATTCTGCTTTGCTCTGCTGCAGCTTTGCCTTTCTACAAGTTCTAGCAACCAGTGACATAACATTATGTTTTCAATCTCCCTCTCAATCATGTAAGAATTTGGCAGGCATATCTATCAAAGAGCAGATAACTGAAAAAACACTCACTCTGAACACTTGAACAGAACAGAGTTTTCATAATGTTATTAGTGACATCTGTGCTTTTTCCACTATGACAGTCTGCTGTGAAAAAGGCCTACTGCAGAACAGACCAACCATTATTACACACATAAATCTCTTTGTCTCTGTCACTTTCTAGCTGGTTGGAAGCTCATAATGGGATATGGAAACCTTCAAGCTTTAGAAAGTCAGTGTGCAGCCCTGGCTCTAATGTTGACAGACATCTGCTATTTTAAATAACCACTGAAAAAGTTATATCCGTTTATTGTTGCTCTGATAAGATAAAACTTAGACGTCATTTTTCAGAGACTTAGTCATGCCACACTAATTGTGAGTGCAGTTCTGTCAATATCTGCTACATCAGGGGTGTCAAACTCATTTTAGTTCATGGGCCACATACAATTGATCTCAAGTGGGCCGGACCAGTAAAGCCATTGCATAATAACCTATAATAAAACAATCCCTTCATATTTTTCACTTTTTTAGAGAAAACATTCATCCACTGACCAAACACACGATGAACACCCTGTGATATCCTCAGAAAAATATGTGCAAATTCAACAGTATGTCTCAGTTTTTCCACATTCAGTCAGTCTACTACTCACTTTCATTACATGTGCATTTTTTCATAATTTTCCACTAGCGTGGAAGCTGCTGAAGAGGCAGGTTAAGTCATCCTCTGCCTTACAAACTATTCACTAATCTAAAGTTCTGTAAGTGCCTCAGCAGCAGGGTTTCACCCATATTGTTTTAAGATAGAAGTCTGATACAGATTCTTTTGTACTGAAGCTGCTGGTTGACAATATATTGCACAGTGCTCAATATCTTTAAATATAAGCACAGTAAGTATTCTTTGTTTCATTCAGAGAACTGTACTCTGGTTGAGGTGGAAAAGCCTCGGAGGCCGCATTTTACATGAAGTATCTACTCACTGTTTAAATTACTCCTGATACTTGGCACCTCTTAGCCTTTACAAGTGCATCAATATTAGGTGTGCAAAGTCATCTAGTGGGCAGGATTATACAGACCAGTTCTGGCCCCCGGGCGGTATGTTCGACACCCCTGTGCTAGATATTGCTGCATGTTTTCAGATTCATTACCCTCTGAGTTCTACCTCTATATTAGGCACACTAAGTTTCAATACATTCATGTAAAACAGTTTTGATAGACGTCCTAAAACCATTCACCCAGACCATGATGTACTGTATCAAAGTGACAGGCAAGATAGTCTTTCATCTGAGTTGTCTGAAGTGCATCTTTGCAAACAATGTACGCTTGTGATATGTGAGAGTACAGCATATCTGCAGAGGAACACACAGCAACAGCTTTTGGGTCTAGACTGGTGTTATCCTGGTTACTGATGTAATCCTGTAAGCTGTGGTGAGGTGCAAAAATACAAAACCACTAGGAGAAACTTAATGGTGCCCCTTACCTTTTTCCTGTGGCAGTAACATGGAAACAGGTCATCACTGGGCTGCTCCACCAGCTCCATGCCTTCACGAACCTTAGGTTCTGTGACCTGGAGTTTGGCATACTCCTGTAAGAAGAACATGGGACTTTCAGAGAGGACTACGACAGACAATATGCCATTAGAACACATCTCTGCATCTTGTGAAACCAGTGCCAATGAACCATGACCCCACCGTGAGACTGCAACTGTAGAAATGTTACCTGGAAAAGTCTGTAGTAGTAGCAGAATATACTGTTTCCCATAAGATTATTGCGGGCAAACTGCTGACCCGCCAGTGCAATTTTCTTTGCCTGAAAGACAGCGACAATCACAGCAACATGGTTAATTATTATTTCTTTGAATCACATCCAACATAGTGGGGACAAAATGTTACAAAGCTATCTATGTTAACTCGTACAGACGTCAATAAATGAGCGAGAAAAATCCACTGAACAGAATGACACCACACGTCATAGCATTTACTGCTATGTATAAATGTATAGCACCATAACCATAATCATTATCATTATCAGCATCACCTCTTCATCGTGCTCACGAGCCCACTGGATCTTTTCCAGCAGGTCTCCCAGGTCCGCCCTGATTGGGATGTAGTGCTCCCACGGCCGAAGTTCGTTGTAGAAATGCTCGTAGTAACCGGAGTCCTGCTTTAGGACCACACTGTCTCCAGCCAACAGGTAAGGCAGTCGATATGCTGCCACAGTGCCGTCAATGTTTATTTGGTACTTGTACTGGGGGTGGACAATGGATAGAAATCATGAGTTTGTGTTAAAGAAAATGCCAGTTAGATAAATGTAAACAGGCTGATGTCATATTTAACTGCATAAAAAGTTAGTCTTGGCACACCATCTAATGTGTTAGCAGAAAACTGTCAGTGTACACAGCTGACATGGAGCGACATCACACAGGAGATGTCTCATTGGCAAACTAGATCATGTAAATAGGTCCAGTATTCCCAGGCCCTTGAGCACTGGTTTGGTTTATCGTCTCCTGAGAGAAATATCTGGGTCTTTACTCTCCACATCAGAATCTAGTTTTCATCGGCTCTCAGATTTTTTTCTGCTAAATTAATTGGGTACACTGAGCTTGTCTAGGCTTGTTTGCTGAAAATGCTTCAGTATGGTTATAAAACAATTAGCTAAACGCTGCAGGGCCCGGCAGAGTTTAGTATTAACTCTTACTAGGTCAAACAGCACTAGCATCTCCTTACCATCCCACGGTATGATTTAAGTTATTATCAAAAATATCCTGTAATGAAGACTCCAATATTTTATGTATTTATAAAACAAGCCATGCTAGAATAAACTCACCTTGAAAAAGTCAAAGAAAGAAACATGTTTGACCAGCGGCCCATAGAGACTCTCATCATGTTGGAAGAAGAAGAAGTTGGTAAAGGCAGCGTCTATCATGTTGGGGTGAGCCCTTGAAAGCTTGACCAGCTCCAGACGTTCCTGTCGACTGTCTCGGCCCCTCCAGAAGGCTGTAGCGTTCTTCTCTGGCCATGGTGGGCCTGTGTTGGCCTGCACTGACATCATGTCCAAACTTACTCTGTTCATTGGATGCACAGGGTATAGAGAGAGAGAAATACATATATATAGATAATGATATGCTGAATCATAAAGCAGACATTAAGACAGAAATAAGAACAGTCATGCATATATAAATAATCTCATCCTGTTATTAAACTCATGTAAAGGATTGGCTTCACACTGTCAGCTGTAGCTCAGTGCCTAGAAATCATTCCTACCCTGCTTTGCTTTCACTTTACTTTACGAAGGACTGCTTAACCAGTTCAATATTGCAAATATAAAATATAGTTTTGTCATGGCAGAGATCAGCACTTACAGGTGACACTGGATACACCTCTTGACTGAGAGTATCGCTCATTACAGGGAGAGAATTTCTGCGGGGCAAAAAGTCAATGTATGCATGATATGGAGAGCTGTTAAGCCGGCTCAATCTAGATGTAAAATAAAATATTTGCCTGCACTTTTTTTTTTGCTGTCACACACCAGTTGGCTATCTTGCACTGCATAAAAATGCATGAGGCAATGCTGAGGAAATAATGAGCACCCTGACACAGGTTTATTTCGGTTCCACATTATTCAGTCTGCGCTGTGACAATGTCGTGGTGCAGTCTGGGTACACAAGCCTACTTGTCCCCAGCGTCATCTGCTTAGGGAAGAAGAGTATAGTGTAAATCATCTTAATGACTTCAGGAGTGCAACGTGTCCAAGCTGACTACGACTCCTGTCCTCCACTAAAAGGCAAGCTACGAACTTTTCTGAGCCATCAGGCCTACAGGCGGTTGGCAGTTCCTCAGAAGATAACATTTTCAGGGGAGTATTCCCTAAAGGGTGTCCAGGTGTGATTGGTGCTTTTGTAGCTTTTGTTTGTGTTCTGGCTGCACAGCCTTACCTTCCCATGGTCTCAAGGACAGACTCAGTCAGGTCATAGGTGGGCATGACTATGTCTCTGGTATTGTTAGAGCCACACCAGGAAAAGATGGGATGAATCTTCTCAGTGGGTTTTCTCTTCTCCAATGGCCAGTCGCCCAGATTAACGAAGAACTCCATGTCAGGGAGCTGCACCTGGACGTACAACACAACACCGTAGGGAGAGAAATGGGAGTGTGCTCTTGAACCTTGAAGCCTTTAATCTTTATACAGCATTATAACCCATGGATATCAAAGAGAACTGGGTGCAGCCTTGCAGGCAGGGCCCCATTTATTCCTATGAAAGTTGCTCAGTGGTGCATGAAGCCAACAAATTTCAAGTGCTGCATATAACGTTACCCAGATGATTACAACTGCTTCCACACTGTAGTGTTGGCCCATAGAGCATGTGCACCAGACTTTCCAAGTGTTACCGGACGGGATGGATCACCTTCTGGTAGTGAAACGAGACATTTTGCAGGGGGTCGTGATGCTCAAAAAAATGTATGAACTGATTTACAGATGTCTCTTTCGCCATTTATGTCTATGTGCCCCATAGCATCATGTGACGCCATGTAATTACACTTCTTGGGGGCCTGTCATAAACCCCAATTAAAAGATAAATGCAATATGTAAGTGGAAAAAAGCAATGTAATTTTCTATCATGTTCTTTGTCTCGCTTTCTAAAAGCAAGTGACAAATTATTTGTAATAATGGTGTGTTATAAATTAAAATTGTTCAGTGTTTTAGTATCATACAGATGGTTTAAGAAGGCCTTACCTTTCTGGTGAGCGACAGGAGGATGGCGTCCATGAAGATTCTGAAACCCACATGCTCTCCAAAAGTTTTAACGTAGACCTAAAGAGAACATAGAAGCTGTATCAACCTTAAAATATCACAGAAGTGTTCAGAAATGAACTTGAATGAATTTGACTCTCTTATTTTGTATTGCCCTCAATGTACTGAGACATAAATGGACATAACAGCTGGGAACAAGGACAGCACAGCTGGACAAATAAAGGAATAACACAGACAGGAGTATCTTATTCACAAGTATGTGAATGAAAGATTATGTGTTTCTATAAATATTCTAGAATTATATAGCGACGATAACTTGCTTAACTGCAAACTCTATCAGCTGATCAAGACCATGTGATGTGGTCAAAATTAGGATCGTATAGTCAGACTAGTGTTTCCAGGGCCAAGAGCAATCTTATCTTTACTATATAATGACAAACACTCTGTCTGTGTGTCTGTTCCATGTTTTTCTCCTCACTGACTTGGTCAATCCATGTGAAATTTGGCACAGTGGTAGAGGGTCATGGGAGGATGCGAATGAAGCAATATTACATCAATTGGCCAAAGAGGGGCGCTATAGCAACCGATTAAAATTGCAAACTTTGAATGGGAATATCTCATGCCCCGTATGTCATAGAGACATGAAACTTTGCACAGAGATGCCTCTCCTCAAATTTGCCACAAGAACCCATAACTTCCGGTTATATAGATTTTCCGCCATTTTGAATTTTTTTGGAAAACACTTAAAATCAATCTCTTCCTAGGAAGTTTGACCGATCTGCATGAAACTCGGTGAACATAATCTAGGGACCAATATCTAAAGTTCCCTCTTGGCAAAAGTTGGAAAACTTACTAAAACTGAGCTTCTATAAGGCAATGAATATTGCGGAGGGCGTGGCTCATCACATAAAGGTGTATAACATCTCAAGGGTTTCACCGATCACCACGCAACTTTGTAGGCATATGACCACACATAATCTGAGGGGACCCCTCCATTATTGACCCCATCAAACAAAATGGGGGCGCTTATCTAGGCCTGACTGCCGTATCTATTTTTACTAAACTTGGTAGATATGTAGAACAGGAAGGTGACTGGAGAAATTTAATTCTAATTGGCAACTGGGTGGCGCTATAACAACAGAAAAATGCTTAAAAATGGCTAAAATGCGACCGATCGCTGTGGCTCCCCCTGTGGCCGAATGTTTCTCTTTTTTTTTCTAATTTTTGGTTTGACTAAGTCATGGTACTGTATGCTGTACATAATCACAAAAACTGTCAGTGTGTCATTCTGCCTGTCCCACGTTTTTCTACTCACTGGCGTGGTCAATCTATGTGAAACCGCACATAGGCATTGAGGATTGGCATAGGTAGAAGGTGACAAAGCTACCAATGGGTATGGACTACTTATGCCTATTACAGGAAATACTTCAGTTATATAAAAAAAAAAAATATTTGCAGAAATTTGTCAATTTACAACTACCTGAATGTGTGAAACAGTGTTTTGCACAGAACTTATTTTGTAAGTGGACACTAAGCCTACCTTCAAAACAAAGTGCAAAACTTACAATGGGATTGTGACTGATAAATGACTGGATGTTCCCAGGTAATGCTAGCACTGTGGCAACAAGGCTTTAGACGTATCATTGTTACAGAAACCTGGATTGACGTCTACAGTGGTATTTTGAGAAGATTGTACAAGTAAACACCTGGTTGACAGACTGTTCTTAAGGGTGTGTTACACAGCTCCAGGCTCTCCTGGCCCCCTTTACATTATCACATGGCCCTAATTACTATTCAGCCCAAAGAAATACTACCCATCATTACTTTACTGCCCTTTGGTTATGATAGTATTTAAAAGAGAGACTGGGGATTTTTTGTAAAATTACTTGTGTGTTAATGTTACAACTGAACCCATATTAGACCTTTCAGTTTGCTGTTACACCAAGATGATAAAGACTGTTTGCTAAAAACATAACATTCTCCCAGACCAGTGTTTTTCATGGCGCTCTGCACCCCTGACTGTGACCCTAATGTATCAGCATTTTTTGAGGGTAGTGAGCAACCATATTCAACATTATCGTGTTTATCTTATTGCTTATTTCCTCTGTGTTTGGTGTTTCTGGTGTCATAGGTGTGAGATACCTTGTTGTTTTTAATAGTGTAGTGGCAGAGGCTTTGTCTCTGTCCGAAGCGCTGTGGGATCTCCTGCGCGTTACGATCTGGGTCGACACTTGCGTAGATGGAAAGGTCCCTGTCTATCTGAGGGAAGGACTGAGGACAGTGCATTTGGGCTTCCCACACAGAACCAGTGGGCTGAGGACAGTCACAGCCCTCATGATAAACTGGGCCTGTGTGGGGAAAAGAACACAGAAACATCAATAAGATCCGTCTGTTTCATCTGCTGTAAACATGAGCTGTCCTTATCAGGCCAGAAAAACACACATCTCATCCTAAAACATATTTTATGAGGCAGCCTGGATTGTGTTTTACCTGTGAGAATGAATGGTGACTTTGCGATGTGCTTGTTCTTGAGCAGGATGTGGATGTGGAGGTCCGTGTATGTGGCATACATTCTGTAGCGAACCAGGAAGGAGCCATCCTGACGATCCAGGACCTGGATCCAAATCCTGGTGAAGTGCTCCACTGGAGACACAATCTTCACGTCAAAGGTCTTCTCACCAGGTGATGTTGTTAAGCTGTGAGAGAGGAAACACGGAGAATATGCTGCTGGAAGAATACTAGTATGCTGGCACACAAGCCAGAGATGCTAAGTTTAGTGTACAAAATAAGTCATACACAAGAGGTCTCGAATTTTGTGAGAGTTTTGAACGGATAGCAGTACCAAAACATCTAAAGCTGCTCGCATATTATTATCTGAAGATAATTACATATTAAAAATTCCTCATAATACATTTATTCTGATGCCAATTTGACAGTTGCTTTAATGTGTCTCCTTATGTGGCCTGGCTATATTGTAATTAAATGTTACAAGTTTTGCATCAACAACAGAAAGTCTCTTGTTGCTGATATAATTTCATGGCTTCTTGGTTTTGGCAAAATGTTATGATCCCTCTTGTGAACCATCAGACAACACCAATATCATCTTTTGTTATAGGCATGAACGGAGGTGAGAAATCAATCTGTCTTGACACCAAAAGCATGTGTGAAAGTGACACCCACCGAGAGCAGGATACCTTCATTGGGCCCATGGGACCTTTTTGATGAAAGGGGTCAGTTGAGGCTGTCTGACTCGCTCTCCCTGGGGCGCAAACTTTCATGTCTGCTTTCTCACTATCGACTAGTTTAAAATTTCAACGCAGCTGAAAAGACTTACTATGTTGTTTCTATGTCTTTCTTTACAGTCACGCAGACCTCAGGTGCTAATGTTAAAGTGCAGTAACATTGCCCTGCCAAAGGTAAAATTGGAAGGAGGTTAAAGTTGTACCATTCTGCTTCTAGGATATCTCAAGAACCATACTGACCAAAATATGAGACAATATTTGTTGTCATAAAAAATACAATCCAACAAGTGGGTGTTGTAACATTTGACTATGTTAAGTTCTTCTTGAGAAAATAAACATCTAGACTCCTGATTGTGGGCTGCATCTCTGCCAACTGGACAGCTGTTCAGCAATGAGAGATACAATTTTCCTCTTTGCCACATACTGTAGTATTAATTAAATCAACAGACTCGAACCTCGTCTTTTAGCTTTATGACACCAATTTCTTTGCACTTATAAAACAACACAGATTTGAGCCAATATAAAATTCATGTAGGCTCTCAAAATCCAAAGCTACGTGGAGCATTTGAAAGCAGCACTGCTTGGCAATAAAATTTTACAAGTTGCTGAGACTGGAAAAACGCAGCGTCTACAACAAAGACGACTAGCAGGCCTGACTGAACTGTTACTCACTTTCTCCCCGAGCTGTCCACCGCCTGTATGTAGAAGAATCGAGCTGGAAGGACGATGTTTGCCTCCAGACCGGGTCCCCACACCAAAGTTTTTGCAGCACTGGGTGCCGAGTGTGCCAGAGCCCCCGGAACTTCATGTCTGAACACATCCAGACAGAAGAGCAGCAGCGACCACGACAACAGCCGAGGAGACATACCTGTCCAGAGTCCACTGTCCTTTACCGTCAGCCGTCACTTTTCTCCCCGCAGAGCTTCAGCTGCCTAAACTTGCCATTGTTGGTTTAAAAGTGTCGAGACATCATTTAAGGCAAAGTTAAGGTAAAGTCTGTAGCTAGCTAACGTTTTAACGTTAGTTCGTCCAGTTTCCATTGGGAATAACACGACTCAGCGGTGGCATTGCTAATGTTTTATATCTGGTTAACACACGCGCATATTTTTGTAATTATATTTCGCTTCCAGCGAGACGAGGTAACCGTTAGTTAACCTGGTCATAAAATCTCTGTACAGTTCAGTTAACTATGTGCTGAATGAACAGAGGGCGGGATAAGCACGCCCGGTACGGCAATTTGATTGGACGCCACTCCGCACACTCTAGGTTTGATTGGCTGACTGAGCAGTCGCTTCCCGAGCTGAAGCTGATTGCACAGAAACCCGGAAGTTGAAGCCCTGGCTACATTTGGGCATGATGCTCGACATGGGATTGGATTGTGAATGTGGTTTATTTTTTTATAGGTGTATCCAATGGCTGTATGGTAATAATTTATTGAGAGTATGAAACTGAAAAAAGTTATTTATTTTATTTCGTTAAGTAAAAGTAGCAATGCCACACTGTAAAAATATTACATTAAATTAGTCACTGTAGAAAAATGGCCCCCTTTAAGAGGTATATTATTCTTGTATTATTATTTATTGCTGATACGTTAGTACTACGTTGCTGTTGTTGTTGGTCTAATTGGAGATGATTTTAATTATATTTATTTATTGTGACAGATAATGTTAGCTTAGCCTATAGGTTTTATATGTAAAATCTTAAAGTTACCACTGACATAGATAAAAGTAAAGATAGGGAAGTAAAAAGTACACAGTTTCCCTTTAAATTCTAATAAGAGTAGAAGAATGAAGTGGCATTAAATTAAAATACTAAAATAAAATCCCTTACATTTGTGCAAGTGTATGGTAGTAAATTAAATAGAGCTCATCACAGAATAAGCTTAAATCATTATTGTCAAGGTGGAGATTTGTCTTCAGTTCACCAAACACAAGAAACAACATAAAAAGCAGACAAGAAGTCAGTAAAACAAGAGTTATATTTTGACCACAGGGTGTTATAATTTGGTTGAGCGTTGAGGAAATTACAAGTGTAAAAATATCTTTGAGGGATTTATAGAATTGTGATAGGATATATGAAATACAGGACAAAATAGATTGGTTATCATGGTAATAATATTTCTGAGAAATGCCATTTTTGTTTGAGCCAATTAACTGACTGTATGTTTCTCATAGCGACAAAGCAGGTAAGTTACACTGGAGGGATAACATTAACATTTATTGAAATAATAATAAAACCATACCACACTTTCAAGCGTGTTTGATGTGATGAAGCTTCACTTCCTTTCGGAGTGCTGCTGCATAAAATAACTGAGAATCACTGGTGTGGAGGTGCTCAGATGATCCAGGGTAATTCAGCACCAAGTTGTAGGGCTAAATTTTTTTTTTATCAAAATTGCAGTATGGCCTCCTGCAATTTTCAAACTGCAGGAGGCACAATGTTTGATAAAAGACTGATGTGCTACAGACATGTGGGGGCAGTGAAACAGAGTTCCCAACTGTGTACATCAATCAATGTTTATTTCATTTTGCTTTTGCATCAACATATTTTCCAGTTCTTTTTTGTCAAGTAATTTCTATTACACTAGTATAATATCAATAAGAACAGAAAGTGGTAGAATCCATTTAAATAAGACAAACTTTGCTGCCATCATTGAGAAAACAAGAGAAATGCTTTTTCAGGATACTACAGTGTGAAGAACTACAGAGTTCCAGTGATTTAGACAGAGCCAGAATACCAGATACAGTACCAGCAGTAACAGGTACAACATATACAGAGAAAAATATCCCAAGAATGTCTTCATCTTTTGTCGTTTTTTTGTTTCACCTTTCTCCCAAGATTGAACTGTACAGTTAATATAAAAACCAAAAACATACAAACCAAAAACATACTAACAAAACACCCTGTCCGTAGAAGTCAGTTTTTTTTTTTTTTAATTTTCTTTTGGTTTTGTTTTTTGTTTTTTTGTGTGTTTTCTCTGCCATTGAAAGAACTGCACTGAACACAAATCTCATTGACGGTACAGAGATAGGAGAGAAATTTATTTTTTTGACATGTTTAAGACACCTCATTGAATCAAATTATGTGTAATGCCTGAAATCTGTGTGGAACTGCTTTAGGATTTCAGGTGACTCAGGTTTGGTGAAAATGCATCTGAAGGCCATTTACGCCGAAGGAATGCCTCCGCAGCCTGACAGGAAGCAGGCAAACATGACTAGCAATGCAGATCGGTTCACCTGTGTCTGTTATTTTTTTAGGTTTTGAGAGTATGTGTCGCTGTGCATATTTATGTGGGAGTGACGTCGACATGATCAAGGCTCAACGCTCTGTATGTGCATAAAGGCCTGATGTGTGTTAATGGATATCAATAATCCTCTGTTTGGTTTTCAGATCAATTCAAAATACAGACAAATACACAAGTACAAAATATCCTCCTCACTTAATGCTGTTTGCGCGTGTCATGTGGCTACCCATTGACATGTACAACACAATCACAATATGATACACAACCATGTATCATGAAACATTTTGTTGTTTTTAACACACAAGAGCCTTCAGTTGAGAGGCCATCATCATCAAATATAGGACTGCGACAAGAGGATATCATAGTCATCAAGAACAATATTTAACAGAAAAAAAAATAACGTGTTTGCCTTCGGTGGAAATCATTGCAAATTTCTTACACGTGTACATAGTTTCTGCACTGACTCACATCTCGACATCACTAAAAAAATACTGTTACTTTTCCTGAACCTTTTTCCACTGATGATCGACTCACAAGGGAGTTGGTGGTGGTGATGAAGCAGATGTGATTCAAACTCCTTCTGGTACTCCCGTCACAAGGACATTGACAATCATTAAAAGTATTGTTTGTGATCATGAATAGAGGACCGCTCAGGTTTAACCCTGACAACACACAACTTCTAACAGACTGTCATGGAGAGAGATGGGAGGGTATCATTCATGTTTGATTGCTTTGGCAGAGAAAGAGTCCAGTTGTTTTAACATTTGTGGCACTCTTTCTCTTTCTCTCTCTCACAGACAGTCACTCTCACACACACACACACACACACACTTACACACCCTAATGGCTCACTAAACTCGTACATCTGACAAAGGCAGCTAAAGACTGAAATGGTGAACCAGCTATAACCAAAAATTAATAATAATATAAATAAAAAATAAACACCCTTGTTCTTTTTTTTTTTTCATAAAGAAAACTGACTTATTTGACTTTGATAAATGCCCTCTATGGCCAACTCCAAGTATTGTCTTGTCTGTTCTGATCAAACAGGAAACATATGACTACCACATATTAGCTCTTTGTTAGTTTACAGTGAGTGGATCCACTCATCTTGTTTTTTTATGGCACGTGAATAGTATATAGGTTCATACTATAGCTATAAACACACTGTGTCCACAATACGCTTGTAACCCTTTCAGCCTCTGGGCTCGTCTCACACCGATCTGTTCTCTGTTTTCATACAACTGTAGTTGGGGAGTGAGATATTCCTCATCGTCGTTTAATGCTTTTGTAAGTAGCAGCAGCCGAAAAGTGAAATTAGTGTGATTAGACTGTGCAGAGGTTAAGTGTAATACTACTGATTTGTGTTTGCACTGTGCAGCCCAGAGTAATTGGTAAGAATAAATTTTCAGCATTATTCTAAGTGTGTGTAGAAGAAGCTAACTATGTGCATCTATATTGTGGCATTTAATATTATGCTGAAACTGAGAGAAAAAATTCAAATAAACCAAAAATGAAAAAAAAAAAAAAAAAAAGGGAAAGGAACACAAGTTTTGGCTTAATAGCAATGCAGGTATACATTTCCCTTTTTATATATAGATTTTTGTCAATATTTCAAAAAATATAAAGTTTTTCATAGTTTCTGTTGTTGGCTTACATCGTTAAATAAAACTTTTTTTATTTTTGTATCTTCTGTTAAAGTCGCATGCTGCTTTTTAATATGGCAGTTGGATTTTTTTTTTAATAGTCATCCATTTTTATTTCATGCATTTCTTGTTGGTTTCTTTACTTGTGAGTATCTACACAGTGAGGTCCAGGAAACCCAATCACACACACCCACCCACCCACACACACAAACACACACTCACACACAGACAGAATTGTCGGATATTTCCAGTTCCATCTTCAGTCCTTCGTATGCCGCCATTCGCCATTCTCCTTCCGTCCTCATCACTACACGTCTAGACAAGGAACTAACACGTCCTCGTCCTTCAATAATGTGACAGTGCCGTAGCCAGTCCAAAAGCCGTAAAGACAAAGTCACTCTTGAGTCTCTCTTTTAATTGCTCTCATTTATAGAGTGAAAGCCCCTGTTCCGGCACAAAGCTCCCAGCAGTCCAAGGGCAGCCTCAGCCCTCTTTCCTGCGATTAGAACTGGTACCACTTCTTGTCCTTGCACTTAAGCATCAGCTGTAAAAGAAGAAACGTCACATAGTGTTGATGGTGAGGAATAACAAGTCATCACTGCTTCATTTCTTTTGGAATAACACCACCTTTTTAAAAGATTGCTTTGGACCTGTTGTGTGGGGCGTTTTTAAAGCATCAGTGTTTAGAATTTTTAAATAAATGACATCATGGTGGAGAATTGGCACCACTATTAGGATGAGAAGAGTCAGCACAAATATGTGATGACTGTATGGTGTTATGAGGATAGGGTAAAAAAAAAATGGATGAGAACAATGGAGCTCTTTAATTTCATTTTACAGAATTATTCAAATATTTTAAAAGCTAGGATGTAACTTAAGTAACTTTAGTTCTACAAAATATCTTTTTACATCCATTATATTTCTAAAGCTTGTATGAATTATTAGTAATTCTAATTTTAGTTAATTCTTTTTTTATCTGATAATGAAAGGCTAAATTCAATTATCTATGTTTTTATCATAAATCTGTTGTTTCTAACATTTTGCTTATGAATTTTTATGAATCTTGTCTTTACCTCATGAGCGTGTTTGGAGAAGGTTTCTGCACTGGTCATCATTAGGGCGGTTCGCTCCTCCAGCTCCCCCAGTCTTTGGCCTCTCTCATCCAGCGCAATGCGGGCCCGTGCCAGCTCACCCACGGCTCCACCAGCTGCCACCTTCATGCCCTCCATCCCCGCCTGCCCAGGGATGTGCTGAGCCAGACTCCGAGAAGCCTTCCCAGCTGCTGCCTCGCC